AAAGGGTCATTAGCATATTACGCATATGTACATGTTCCATTAAACTATCGGGATCCACCTTTAATACACAGTCCATTGGTATAAACGAACAATCCCTCTCTCCTAAAAATATTTTCCGTCAAATATATTGCTTTTACAGACTAAAATATGCTTATCATGAAATACATAACTGAACATAACTGAACAGTAAATAGAAAGGAATGACGTTACAAATACATTGGTTAACAAGCAGTTTACACACACACACACACACACACACACACACACACACACACACACACACACACACACACACACACACACACACACACACACACACACACACACACACACACACACACACACACACACACACACACACACACACACGTATGGGGAATTTCAAACGGTACACTTTTCGACGTAATTGTGTGGGAAGAGTCCCGTCTTTCCCCTCAGTCGACCGGTCCACCAGCCGGTAGCATCTGCGCAATTAACAGTTCAAACATTTAGTTAGTATCAATAGTTGTTTGCAGTCGGTTGGTTATTTTTCATCCGACTGCGACACCCTGGTTGAATGAAAATTTTGCAAATATTATTGTCGGTCTAAATTAAGACTTATTTATGTACTTATTTACGTGACCATGACAGAGTGGATTGAACTTCCCAACATTAGAAAATTCCTTTCAAATTAGAAACCTCATTTTCAGTTTACTTGATTTAACATTATATATTTTTGTCATTTCCAATGTTGGGCGTCCAATAAAATAGAAATTTGTTTTAATTTGCTACCTTAGTAACAGTTCAACTTTGTATGTGGACCACGTTATAGTAATTGTATTGTACTGTTACCACGCAAACTATTTCGCGCTTGTTTGCAAAATCTGTCGTCCATTGTAATAACAACAAAACTTATTAATTCGAGGAACCTTCCTTGATGAGTTCGATGACGTCTCCGGGATTGAAGCTCAACTCATCCGTGTCTTGAGCATCGTAGGCGTACAGACACGTGTACTTCTGGTAATTTTCGACTGGAGGTTTCACTTTCGGTTTCGGTTTGCCTCCGCCTGGAGATGGTTTGTTCGAGTTGAGGCCGCTTAATCGTTGGGCCCTAGTGGAAGAACATTCAAATAAATTGAACCACAGAAATCAAAAGTTTTTATCTAACAAACCCTAACAGTTTTTATTAAATTCAATGTATTAACAATGAAAATTCCTCAAGTCAAATATCTGCGCTTGTTATGTTAATTATTTATTAATTATTATTAATAATTTATTATTTTAAATAGTGAAAAAATTAAATCTCACTAAATCAATTCCTTTCAAGAAGTTTCAATTTTAATAAAAATTTAAGATGAAGCAAAAGAGCTGACAAATATCTTGAATATGAATAAAAGATGAAAGCAAAAGATTCAGAAAGTGCACAGAAGACAAAAAAAAGTATGAACTAAATTCCTAAACACTAACACAATGGTGCAGACAACCGAATTCAAAATAAAGGACTATCAAACTTAATTGTTAACTGAACGAGTGCTAATAAATAATGCGATGTGAATGAAATAAAAACAGTTATTATGACAAATATAATTTTTAATAGACGAAAACAAATTTGATTGTTAGATGATACCAACTTTTGACCCCTGGGAATGAAAGCATTAATAAAAAAAAAATTATATAGGTTATCTGCTGGTTGATATTGCATTTGATGATGTGGATGTAGGTATTTATTCAGTCAAGACGTAATCTTCGCTATCACGTTTGGCTAATTGCAATCATGAACAGTGAACACACAAATATTGACAACTGCATCAAGAAGTTGTTTCTAAAGATAAGTTGAAGTGATTTCCCGCTTCAAACCGCCGTCAAGAACATTTATTTACATATTGTTATTATTATTATATTTAACTTAGAAATACGTAGTTGAAAGATAGAACACTCCCAACCAACCAACCAACTCAAGAATCGGCCTTTAAATAGCACGTCGCAAATCATCTTAGGACATTCATGTAGCAGCAAATATCGTACAATAATGCGTATACCGTTTTCAAAAATATTTTTCTCGTGCGAAACATTCGTTTATAAAATGTTTCAAACGAGAGGTTAATAGTAAAAAAAAATTGCAGTTCTTAGCGCATTTTAAAATAAACTCCCACCAGTCCAATGCCACTCACAAACATTCTTTTCTATTTCCAAATCTACTAATCAAAAATCTAAGAATCAGTCAAACAATTCATCAGCCGACCAACCAGTCAATAATTTAATTAATCCTCCAGTTATGCAAGCCATAAATTACCAAGCAAATGAACCACCACTACAACCACCACCACAACCACCGGCGGCAACTAACTGACCCAGCAACTCCAGGATCAGGAATCTGCAGGTAAGACTTATCTTCATCGGGCCTGTTCACTCGACTTTTTGACTTGGCAGCTTTTTGTAGGGAGGTGTTGGGCAGATGAGGGACCTTCTTGTCAACAGATATTTGTCTCAGGAACTTCGAATTACTGTTTACTGGTGTGCTCACTGTCCAAATCGTGAATTTATTAATCTCCATATAAAAATCAACTCAATAACGACAAGTAAACTAAGAAACGGACGGAGGATAAAATGCATTGATTCAAAGCGAAATAATCAAGATAAGTTAGTTATTTCAGCAAATCTTCTGTGATATCAACAGTTTACATATATTTAAGTTCCTTAAATATATGGGAAACTTTTTTACGTCTAGCCCATTAAAATTCTCAGATTAAGATGTTATGTCATGTTATTTTATGTTATGATATGTTTTGTTATCAAGATGGCTCTTCAAAGTGTGGGAACGTGGAAGCCAGGGTTTATTCGTAAAAGGCGTTCACGAAAGTTTGAATAATAAGACTGAACTTATGAATTCAGCTTAGAACAATGTTTTAAAGAATGACGAAAGATAGAGAGAAGGAAACGAGGAGTAACCTGGAGGAGGTGTGTTCCTGTGGGCCACTGGCGCTGGGATGCCTGCGCGTGGGTAAATTTAATAAAATTCAACATTTAAATATCGATTATAAATTTTGTACAAAAATTGTCCATTTTCACACGAATGAAACAATACTTGTATTTTAAGACTATAAAATCAAAAGCGAAAAATAATCGTAATAGAGTAGTAGACAATGGAGGATTGAATTATGTTTTAAAAATTAAATAATATTGAACTGAACCGAAAACATTTTTATAGATCAGTATGTAAAAAAACATTTTGTTGTTAATCACCAGGCCGTCTGGGAGGAACAGATGAAGTTTTGCTCGGAGCGTGAGATGCTGCTGATGACTTGCTCTGAAATTTGCTCACCTGGCCAGGTCCTGTCATGATGATGATGATGCTGACGATGCTGACGATGATGATGATGAGGACGAAAATTAGGATGAGGTTACTGATGATGATGATACCCATTGTGGTCATGGTGATGTGAAAAAATAATAATTTACATTATTAATAATGCGAAAATAATTTCTACCCTATTCCACCACAAACTGATGTGCATTTGTTATTATTTAGGCAAATTTTTAACAAAGTTGTAAACGAAACTCTTCTTCTTTTTCTGTAGTTTTTTCGGCGTTTAAGCTCTGATAGGCTATCATCACGCCTTTTGATCTCTGCAGTGGATCTTTTCACAGATGTTGTTGAAAATGTTTACAGCCTTAATGTATGATATTAGGCTTACTATATTTTTGAAAATTGAGTGTATATCTTCTGGAATTTGGTATTTTTTACTGCTTTCGTTATATGTTTGACATTCCATTAATATGTGTTAGATTGATAGTTTAGTGGAGAGCTTGTTTTGTTGAATAAATGAATTATTTTGGAATGACATATTTTTAATCTATTTATCACGTTGTTTACGAAATTACCAGCATGTTAAGGTTTCTTGCAAAATTTAAGAAAAATTGAGCTTGATGACGTGCAAAATTGCAAGTGAATAAAAGAAAATTGGTCGAGTAGATGATACAGAACTTTGAACATTAAACAACATAACATTTCTAGCAAAATTGGACAATAACAAAACAACTTAAACGACTATTAGTTAAAATAAAGAGCGACAACAAATTATTTTACATCATTTCAAAATTAAAAACAAAAAATGAATTAACGAAAACCATCAACAACAGCTCGGGCGACGACTAACTAGAATCCTTTGGCAGACCAGGTCCAATGCTAACAGTCAGGACCTTACTGGATGGCTTCAGCACGGCCATGTTGCCTGCGCCTGTCGTGGGTGTTCCAACTTGATTCATTCTCATTCATTCACCGCGAGGTTGCAATTGATAATTATAAAAAATCAGACACGATTTAGATAACAGTTAAAAAACTTTTTTGCACAAGTTACTATCATAAATTTAGAACGAATGTTTGAAAACAAATGGTTCTAGACGAGTTTTAACAATGAACAGAATCTTTGAAATTAAATAATTTTTCAAATAAAAGTTTGAAAATTAATATATTGAAAATTGATGATTGTAAAATGGTGCATCAACTGACCTGACGAAAACTTCACCGTCAGCTTGCTGGCTCCAAAAAACTTATCCTTTTTTGTCACATATTCTATGCTAATTTGAATCGAATTTGAACGTCAACGAAGAATGGCGTGAAATATTTAAAAAAAATAAATGTTGACTTTTTGAGGAAGACAATTGTTTGATAATACGGAAACATTTTGGTTCAACGAATTGACTCTTCAATTAAATAAAAATAAAACTTTGACCAATTAATTGGACAGAATTCATAAGATTTGACAAATGGCAGTTGTAGCAAATGCAAACATGAAAGCAACTTCTAAACCAACCTGTCGTTGAAATGAATCTTCAACGCTCCTCTCCCTTGAGCAGTACTGAGTTTGTTCAGTACTGACAGCATTTCCGTCTTGAACGTGCATTCCATCAGGTTGGCGTAGTCGTCCAATGTATACAATATAAAGAAGTCATCTTGACGCGTGCTGCAAAGTTGTGTGCGTGTGCATGTGATCTTTTGTCATTGTCTGGTGTACATGAATATATAATATCTGGATGTCTGTTATATTCCATGTATAACAATGTTTATAATAATATTCAAACAAAGTTGTATATAAACGTTGAAAAATTGTTTGCGTGATTCTGTGTCCGCGTGTGTGCGTGCTTTTGCAAAAGTGTTGAAGTTGTTTAAACTTTTGTAGTAAGTAACAGCAGAATATTAAGAGCTGGGAACCTGAGAGCAAAATGAGAGATGCCTTCCAACGGAATCTTCCTCTTGATAACTTCCAGGACCTGACCTTTTTGCGGACCCTTCTTGACCTTTCCAATCAATCAATCAATCATATTTAATCAATCAATCATTCAATCAAAATTAATTTACTACTTTCAATGTCACCAACATGAAAATCACCATCACCGCAATTGAAAATAATTAAATAAAACAAAACAAAGCCAACTTGCTCTCTGCCGATCAAGTAGAAGAACTTGTTGGTGATTATCAAATCTCTTTTGGAGGGCTGTTTTAAATTTCAAATAACGACAGTTACAATGCTACAACGTTGAGATTGATTTTCAATAGAATTAAATACCACTAGCTTATTTATTATTATCATCCTCTCCATCCTCACCAACATTTTCAAGCCCAGTTGGGTCTATCCATCAGCCTACGTTGTAAGAATGATATTGGCAGATGTCTCAGAAACTCTGTCCGTGCTAGTTCAGCTTTGGCCTTAGATTTCTCTCTCAAAAGACTCGCATTCAGCAAGCATCGTAAGTAACGTTTCTCATCATATAAGAGAATTCCTACACTTAATACTGGCAACCACTTTCTGCTAGCTAAAGAGACCCTGCATTGCATACTTGCCGAAGCGAACAATAAAAAATCTATGAATGAAGTCTTGACAGGAACATCTCAAATGTGCTTATCATATAAAAGTTACTTGTATTTCGCAAATTAATATTATAAATTATTATAACACTCAAAAGCAAATTGAACGTCAGTACTATTTCGACGACACAATCTGGTGGAAGCTTCTTCACCGACACACGTTGTGGTCCACAATTTTGTTTCAAGTCAATGAACGAGCAACACACATCAAGTTATAATATCCTATTACGTATTAATCATTGCAAATAAAATATATGATCCGAACAACCGCAACGACAGCTCTTACCTTGAACCTCCTGTCATATTTGTTGACTGCATCAGCAAACTCCACCATCTCCCTTCTTTCCAGAAGAGCTCGCAGTCCTGGCTTGTGTTCAAGTCCCAAGTAGTCCCCAACAAATGATCGGTCGATGCTGAAACGACGACGTTCCTTCTTATTTAACACGAGACTTGAGGCTGTTTAGTGTCACATTCAAACGGCATCGTTCATTAAAAGTATGCTTCCTATGTAATATTACTTTTGAGGTCACATCAAGACATCAGCATACCGTAAATCAGGATAAAACGAAATAGAAATTTGAAAAAGACTAAAAATTAATAAAATTCTTTATAAGAAATAGAACCCTCATTCTTCAGTCTGATGTACTGCTTTTGAGCGTTCCACTTCCGGAACATCTTCTGGATGACCCTGGCGTACCCATCAAACTTCCTCTCTCTCACTTCCTCCAACAAGAAGAGCTGCAGCAATAATTCATAATAATTATATCTATAATGACATCTCTTGCTATTAACAATCCGATATTTTATTCTGCTAAAATTATCAATGAATCGAAAATCGATCAATCGACTGTCTAAAACTTATTCAATCCGATGACTTATTCAATTGCCTGGCAACCAATGAATTAAATATTTAATCAATCATTCAAACCCTCAACTACTCAAACAATTAATCATAAAATAGATTCATTAATTTTTAAAAAATGTAAACCACAATCTTTAAAAATTCAGAATACTAACAGATTCTGGATTTTTAACAAAAACTTTTGTCTTGCCAAGTTGGAACTGATCATGATCCATGTTGACACTCCTCATGATGATCTGCACTCCTTGTTTTTGATCCCCCCGCCATTCGGGCCACGTCTCTTTCGTGAGGATGGCATACCTGAACGGAACAAAATAAATAAATGGAACTTGGAAAAACCCTGAAAAACTTGAATAAGCACAATTATTATAGACTATGAATGAAATAAAAACCAACAATTAATTAATTAAAAAAAAACCAGTCAACCTTTTAATGAACTTATCGAAGACTCTTCTGTATGCGAAACCAGCCCTACGAACCCTCACATTTTCCTTCAGACCCAGGTACTCCACCTGATGCTTCACCCTTCAAACATCAAGTCATCAATGAACATCAAGTTATCAATGAACGTCACATCACCATGATTCAGCTGCCAGCATCACATAAAACCACCTAAATATCTCAATCAAAACTTCCACTTATTCTTGATTTTAAACTACTTTTAATTCATTGATGAAATTTAATATTTTATATTGAAACGATAATAAGTAACTAATAACAATTGAAGAAAAATGAAAATTCAAAAATAGTATCATCAAATTTCGTCAAAAAAACACGATAGCTGGATAGCGACAGAGTGATAAAGTGACCTATCTTCTGCACTTGAATGACTCGATTCAAATGCAAAAGGATTTTTCGTTTATTTTGCGCGTAAATATATGAAATGCTTGTGCTGTAGCGCTTTTCATTAGAAAGCTGGAGAGCCGCTCACAAGTACGAATGATCGCGGTCTGTTAATCCCATTTTAGAATGTTATCCATTTTTACAAACTTTTTGAAAAGTTAATAAAAATTTGAAAAGATAATATTTATTTAGTATTTAGGTGCTGAACACTTTTGAGGCAATTTGAAATTAATTTGCTAGCTAAGTCAGATCAGACAAGATGAGTGCCATGTCTTATACAATTTTGTTTCGCATAGAATGGTGTAGTGATCTGGTTGGAACGGAGATACAATAAACATTTTTTACGTGTCTTTACATTTTTCATCATTAAGATTTTTATTATCATCGTGCAACCATCACAAACGTCATGACGTGATCGCGACGACAATCACCTGTTTTCCTCCCAATCTTTGCTCAGCTTAGTTTCATTGGGCTTGATGCATCTGATGTAGTTCGGAACGCACTTCATAAGAGCCTCCACGAGTTTGTTGGCCTGGCTCTGATCAGCGTTTTTTTGTTTGTATGTTTGTTTGTATGTTTGCTTGCTTGTTTGTCTGTTTGTTTGTTTGTGAACTGATGTGCAAGTCAGTTTGGCAAGTAATCATAACTGAGTAACAATTATCATACAATATTCAAAGTTGCAATTTTTGTACCTCAATCAAGATATTGAAAGTAAAAAATACAGCATTATAGTAAAAGTCGTTTCTCAAGCAATATTAAATAATTCATTAACAGGCGTAGATATTATTGAAACTTTATTAAAAATTCTTGCAGTTACAACAAAATTCATCAAACCTAACAATGGGCAAACTTTCCGAACTATCTAATAACGTTTATTAAGCATAAAAAAGATTCAATTCACTTCAAAAAATGAGAAATATTACAAAGCGAACCAACGATAAACTATGAAACCGAAAATGTCTTCGACCAAAAAACATGAGACCTTGATTTTAGAACTGGCAGTTGTTGGTCTCGACTTGGCATTCGTGTTGACCACCTCGGGGAACAACGAGACAAGGAATGGACTGGCCGAATGATGGATGGAGGGTTTTAATTGCAATTTTTCAGTAACAATTGTAAAAATTATTAATGAAACAACGCCTAACAAAGTGATAATAACATGAAAACGATAAGATTAAGGCCATATAAAGTGCATTATAACGCGGGAACAATGAATCAATAAAATGTAACGATATATTTTGGAATGAATTGTCAATCAACGAAGAAATGTAAGCATCTACTTATTTGAAGATTGCATCAAGAGGATGAGATCGCTAAAGAGTACATCCCTGTTTCGCTCGCAAAATCCTTCTGCTGTGTAAGACACCTGTTCAACGTTAATGATGATGTTGCTAGGCAACTAAAATGAAGCGTCTGGCTGGTGAGTGGCGATTACGATGGTGACGATGGATAGCTATGATGAGAGAAAAATTCATCACAACATCATAAATGCCAATTATTTAGACAAATATGAATCAAATATAGAAACACTAATGACCGACAAACGACCTAACTGACAAACCTTGCCGGCATAATGATGGATGATAAAATCCGAGCTACCCCCCTGGTAATGCTGGTGACTCCCTATGGCTGATGACAATTTCTGATAATATTGAAATCAAAATAAAACACATCCGATCACTTGAAATTATTCATCAACTATGTCATAAAAGATAAATTGTCAGGTTGCATTCATAAAAAAAAAATAAAATCTATCAGAAAAGACTTGAATAAGATTTTTATAAAAATTTGCAAAACCAACGGCAAGGAGTGTGCCATCAACTCCTTCAGAGACGGCGTGCATAGTGGCGCACACGTCGTCAAGAACGCACATGACACCTGAGATGATGATGGATGAGTTATAGTTGGCCAGCCAGTGGTCAGTTAGTTATTTCATAATGGTTATAAATATGAAAATGGTTTTAAATGAACAACTGTTCAAAGGTAGAGAGTAACACAAATTGTATGCCTAAAATGAACAAATAAGATATAATTTGTGGGAAAAAATCAAGAAGTACAAGAATGTTAACCAGGGGGTTGCTTCGACTCAATGAGGTCACAGACAATCTTGTTGTTGAAGTACTCTATTGGGATCCACTTTATGCCTTCTTGCACGTACTCTTCCTACAGAAGTGATCAACATTATTATGTGTTGTTGGGTTACAAAAACGAGCCAGTCACTAATAAGTTCATTTCTCATATTTTTGTCGAATGTAGAGCAGATCATCTTAAAAACTCATCTTTATGACAAATATGCCAGAACCAGCAGTAACAATCACGTCCGTAATAATTGCAGTAAGCAATATCATCAACATACCTGTTCTGCTTTCAGTGTCAACTCGATAAAAATCTGCTGAAGTTTCTCGTTGACGTAATTGATGCAGAACTGCTCGAAACCATTTTTTTGGAATATTTCAAACCCGTAAATATCGAGAATGCCGACATTCATGATCTCCTGACTGCTCACCATCGCCTGGTTCACCGTCTGTTGCAATGTAAATTTCAATAAGCGCTAAAGCTAGTGCTAATGTAACATTGAAGTAAGCAAGTTAAAAACCTAATGTTTTGCGTGAAATGAAATGAGTAATATAACAAGTTATGACGGTAAAGTAACCTAACCTAACATATAAATGTCTCAAAAAATCGCTTCCTACAAACAATCGAACATTCACCCACCTCCACCAAATAATCAAACAGTCGATAGTACAAGGCCTTAGCGAGGGCATCCCTGGTGTGGCTGGCTTGTTCGGGGTTCAGGGTGACGTTGATGTTTTCCGTCTTGCCGGCCCACTTGCTGTCCATCACCCTGCTGGTCAGTTTCGCCGTCAGGTCCTCTATGGAAATTCCCAGCAAGTATGCAGGAAACTGAAGAACTGTTAAGGTTATAAAGTGAATAATTTTGAAAAAAAATAGCAACAAGTAAACCGTATAAATTACAAATGTGAAAAAGACTGCGAGGCATAAGAGAATACAAATACTATTAACTAATATCTTCAAGCTAGAATTGAATTTAAGATGACTACCATAGTGAAAAGAAATATCTACATTCCAAAAGTGGAATGAAATGTATAAAACTAATTAATATAAAAAATTAGTCATTAAACCCAACATGACCAGGCAAAAGCAAAATGATGCAGTGCAATGCGACACAAAACAATTCAACTCAACATAACGCAAGTCTACAGAAAGTAAATTAACAATCCATGACACGATTTCTGGCATACAGCACTGGAAAAGAAAAAAATATTAGAAGAAAAACAACACAAACATTCAGGACTCTGGATAGCAGCATAATTGTTGAGCTCCTGGAAGAAGATGTTGCCGAGATGGAGGATGGCCGCTGTCAACGACATCACGTTGAACTGGTCCGTTTCAGACATGCCCATCACACTCATCGCGTGCTGCATTAATATCACATTAGCGTTGTTGCAATTAGATATGCTTAGCGTTTAACTCTTCCAAAATTTGAAAAAGTTATCATCAACTTTACATTTTATTAAAAGAGTTTACTGCGATGGTATCATTTAATGAACAGTTTATCAAAAAAGAACAGAAAGCAATTGAAACGAGTGCATACATACATTAGTGTCCTGAAAATCTTTGACGTCATCAATGCCATCAACTTTGTAAGTACCACTCTGGTTGAGGTAGAAGAAGTAGTCGGGTGATGTGAGACCCAGGCTCTCTGAAGGTCATGAAACATCAGAAAAACAATGGTAAAATAAGTTAATATAAATAAATGAAAGCATTTTATTTGAGGAACTGGAAAGAATAAATTTAAACATTAAATATTTCCATAATTCTAGCAAAAATTAATTAGTGTTGATTCAATTGCAAAATTTCTATAGACTGCAATGTCATCTGATGCAAAGACAAAACAATATAAACCTTGTAGTTCCGCACTGGCCCCAGAAATAAGTTGGTAGAAGATGTGGAATGATCGCTCATTTGTGTTCTGAAGAACAAGTCTCGACTGTGATGATCATTTTTGTGGTGGTTATTTTTGTGGTGGTCATTTTTGTGGTGGTCACATGACGATTGATTATAAAACTGTGCATCTTAACCAACAACATGCAGATCTATTTTGAATGTTCTAAACAATGTATAACCAAGTAGAGTGAAATAAATGAAAGATAGTGCATCAAAAACAACAAACAACTTTAAAAACATAGATATATCCAACTTTGACTACAACTTAGTCGCCAAGCTTATCTCGTGAAAAAAACTAAATTACATTGACTGATTTCGTCAGAAAACAATTAGTTGCAACGAAGCAGAAAATAATAAAAATTATGAATACCGGAATTGATGAATAACAAAAAAAACATGAAAAAAACGGAAGAGGGTGTCGAACGAACTTTCTCGAGTAGGAAGTTAGAAATATGTCCCCCAATGGGCTCTCCACCCTTGCTGAACTGCATCTCAACATACTTGCCCTATTTCAATTTCAACAGAACAATTTATTTAATTTGCATGTTAAGCAAACATGGCAAGCACTTGAAATGTCCGTCTGCTCGGAGAGTGTTGATCATTTAAACATTATGTACTTTCGAGAGCAAGTCAAAGTTAAATAATTCAAAAAAATCACCAACATCTGCAATATACTTTCAAAATATGGATAAACGAAAAAACAAACAAGCAAACAAATGAACAAAAACAGCTGAACAAGAACAGCTGAATAACTAAACAAACAAATAAACAAACATACGAACAGACAAATGAACAAATAAATAAAACAAACAACTAAATAAAAAACTAATCCAACACACACAATGAACAAATTAACAAACAAATAAACGAACGAACAAACAAACGAAAAGACGAACAAACAAACAAACAAACGAACGAACAAATCTACTAGAATTGTTGTTCCTGACAGTTTTTGCATTTCCAAACGCCTCCAATAAAGGATTCGATTCTAGAATTATCTCTTTCACTCTCTAGTTGAAAAATTTATTTGAAAAATTCATCCTCAATAATGAAATTGATGAAGACTCTGATGAGAGCAATTAAAATTGCAATGAGAACGACAAACAAAAACCTCTGATGACAACCTGAACAGTGGATCCACCGCCGGAGACCTTAGCAATGTAGTTCATAATGTGCTTGGCTGCCACCGTCTTGCCAGCACCTGACTCTCCACTGTTGTTCATTTCATAAGTGTTACAAACTTCACATGCGTGTGTTTGTGTGTGCGCGTTTGTACGTGTGTTTATTTGTTGTTTGACAATAAATTAAACATGATGACATTAAAATAAAATTTTAAACCAATTAAAACATTAATAGTAATTGTTATATTTCAAAACTGTGACAGACTGGCAAATTAGAAAAAATAAGAAATAGAAAAACAATAAAAAAAGTAAATGGACAACTGAAGAAAAAAAGTTGAAATGATTGAAAACATTAGCAACGTTAACAATTTTTCTCGCACTTACGTAGCAACAGTTTAAAAAAATAAGTAATAAATATAAGATGAATATGACATAAAAAAATATCTATCTCCATTTTAGTTAACCTGATGATGACACATTGATTTTCAGTGTCGATCACCATGTTCCTATACATGGAGTCACTCAGGGCAAATACATGTGGGGCATTTTCGTAAGAAGCCTGGTAAATAAATTACAAATCTTTACAATCACATTACAAATCTTTACACATACACAATACAAGTACATCATAAATCTTTACAATCATACTACAAATTTAAAAAAAACTCATCACAAATCTGAACACATGCATCTCAAATCTTTGCACATACATTACAAATCTTTACAATCACATTACAAATCTTTACAATCCTGTTACAAATCTTTTCAATCACATTACAAATCTTTACAGACTACATAATAGATCTTTACAATCACGTTAAAACTCTTTACAAATATAAATAATCTCAGCTATAATTTATAAAGGTAACAAAAACCTCTACTAAAAACTGCGCACAAATATATCATGAATTTTTTGACAAAACATTGCAATCAAAAAAGATGTATACCTATGTGATGTGTGTTTCTGTAACAATCAACAAACAGATATCATCAACAACATCAACAACAACATCAACAGAAAAACTCACAGCTCCTCGATACTGGTCAATCTCCTTATCAGAATAGATGGGAAGATTTTTGAAAGGGTTCACAGATATCAACACCGGCCCAATGTATGTCTGAAAATGTTGTCAATGAATGAACATTAGAAATTCAGAAATTGTGAGTACACACATTTTTTCAATTGGATCTTTTTAAATTTTAAATTTCACACATAATGAGCTAATTGCATGAGACATGTATCAGCTTGGTGTTTTTGTGAGAGCGGTTGACGGGAACACAACGAAAACTCTTTATAACAATTTAACCCCACAATGTTCCATGACGCTCTATAAATTTTAGTTGATGTATTTTGGAAAATTAAATAGTTTATGGAAACAGCAGAATCACTTAACTCATATTGGTGTCGTTTTAACAATAATTAAACAAATTTGAATGCAGTCTTCGCAGAACTTGAGAAATCTTGATCATATGAAACTTGTTCATGCCTATAAATAAATTAAACTTGTGCATGCATATAGATAAATACAATTTGCAACAGAGAAAGCTCCAATTTCATTCAGACACGAGTATGAAACATCGCATGAGAAGGTTGCCAAAAAACCAGAAATAAAATTTAAATAATTTTTAATTAAATACCAAATAAAGAAATGGAATTGTTCAGCTTTGTAATTTTATTTGCTGTTAGAAATAAGGTTTGTGATAAAAATTGTGTTCAACATACTAACACATAATTATAAAAAGTTTGAACACTGAAATAAGTGCATACTGCAGATAAAATAAAAAAATTTGATAATATAGTTTTTGAAAAAAAGAATAGTAATTCACAGCGTAGTCATTGTAAAAATTAAAATTCCTTAAAGTTGAAGAGCCATGTCAACAATGCAAAACCATAAGGAGTTGTAGTGTTGATTCAAACGCCTGACTGTCTGCTGTGATGGATGGATGCCACGTGCATTAACACTGGCAAGCAATAGTGGAAAGCTAATAAGGAAACAGTTGCATGCTTTAATACAGAAACAGTTAATACAGAAACAGTTGCATGCGTTCATAATTGTAACCTCCATCTAGGAAATTATTAACAATAGGAGATATAGCTTGTGAGCTTCTTTTGTAAAGCACTTATAAAATAATAGTTTTACAAAAGCTAGCAGTTTTTAAAATTCATGTACAGTTCAAATATCGAATGTGCAAAAGAAGATATAGCAGCTCTTGTCCTTCTGGCTTTTCAGGTGCATGCTCTTAAATGTGTAACTAACTATTGAAAAAAGTTTGAACACTTCAACAGAAGGTCAAAATTGAGAATTTATGATTCTGCATATGTTAATGTATCTGTGAAACAAGCAGAAAACGAAATTCTGATTAGAGAGGAAATGTTGAAAGTAAGTGATACCATCTGATTCTAATATTTTTGTTAATAAAAAGGATTGGAGCTGGAATGCAAATGAGAAAGGTGATGAGAAAATATTTTTGAATTGACAGAGTGTAGAATTATTTTCATTAACTGGAAAGATGCACACAAGTCTGTACAATGAAGTAGACGATTTAAATGTTAGAAAATTTTAAGATCTGAATCTGAAGAACAAGTAAGTAATCATCAAAAAATAAAACAAAATAATCAGATCAAGTTTAAACTGGCAGGGAGTTGGCAGCTCTGTTGTACTCTAAATGCACGCAATCCATATTAGCAGGAAGTTTTGCTTGGTGTGAATTAGAAGATGTTGCATAACAAGGAACAGAATTTATAAATAAATGTATTATATATATACATGACATTAGAAAACATTTCATCAATAATTACCAATACGCTGAAGCAAAACCCCAGCAGCAATAAGCTATACAGCAATTATGATAGAGAAATTAAAATAATTTTCTAGTTTAATTGCAATTGATCAAAAAATAACATAATAAATAATACAATACAGCTAGCTATTTGATAATTTTATTGATGTCTGTGACAGCTTCACTGAACACATATCATCAAAAACATGAAACTGAGAAACATGTTTGAAGTCCTCCTATGCAAGTCAAACATAATTCCTCTGAGTTTTTCCCTTTTCTATTTTTATTAAATAAAACTTGAAGAAATCCATTCGTAGAAACAAGATGAATGTTAGTTCTATAAGTAATAAACCCCTTACCAATATTTTAATTTTATTATAATACAAGTTAAATATGAGTATGGAAGCCATAAGCATGACCATTGGAAATGAAAAACAAAATATTGTAGAAAAATAAATTTCATAAGACAAAAACTATGATGAATAAGGAACAAAACTCATAAACATAACAGGAATACAACTAAAATAACATATCTCTAGCATTAAGAGAATAACTGCAGTGATTATGATTGAAAAATCTAAAATTACATTAAGTTAATTATCATCATTACTTTCTATCTTAAAGTTCATAATGTAATACAACATTAATTCATTATATCTATGATAAATTAATGCCTAATCAATTTTTTGCAATGATGGGATAGTCATTATTGTTAGTTAGAGGAACTAACGTATATGCAGTCATCCATGAATCTTTTCTTGAGATTTTCCACAATGGCAGCTTCATTGATCTTCTGCAAGAGGACCATGTCCTCGACACCACTCTGCTTCACATTGTGACTTTGCCAGTGGTATGGCTGTTCAATTCAGAAAAGAATTAAATTAACAAATTATTAATTACCATTAGTAAAATTATAAATGCAAAATGTTTTGCTGACTAGTTTATTTTATTTTATTTTAAACAAATAAATAACTAATTAATATAAATGATTTGATTAATATATATTTTTAAAAATATATAAATTAATTCATTGATTAAACAAATTTCAACAAATGTAAATTGTAAACAGAAAATTATAAATACTGTTTTTAAAATGAAGATTGAAAAAACCTTATTAACCATCATTTGAGGATTAGATTAGTTAGTTAGATTAAAATTAGAAGTTATTATCTAATGTTATCCCTTGTTTTATCAGTTATTAGTATTGAGCTTTGACCATCATTTTAAATCAGATTAACATCTAATCAATCTAACATTACTGTTATTCTTATTAAAAATTAATTAGAGCATCTGATTTTCAATCC